TGTACTGCCATCTACTGTACTGAGAGAGAGCAAGTTACCAAAGGGGGCGATTAACCTCCATGCTGTTGCTGCAGATGGAAACCAGGAATGAGCCTTTGACCACCTACAGCTGGCCCTTTTTCTTCACAACAGGTAGACCCCTTTTTTCTAGGTTAGTTTTACTTTATTTATTTGATAATCTCAACAGTAGGTGTTAAAGCAGCTGATACGTTTGGAGTCTAAAAAAAAAAAAAAACCTAATTCCTCCTCCTTCCCACAATGTGCTATAAAATGTCTAATTGAGAAAATGTTTACATAGGCTATAATAAATGAGCAGATCAAGACTCAAACAATATACCTAGCCACTTGAAATTTCAAGGTGCATGGATGTTGGAAGGGAAGGGGGAAGACAAAGGGGCATGTTCTTCTAAGTGATCAGCTATTTACCTCTGATGTAGAGATGATCCTAAACTAGACTGACCAATGATTTGATCCACTATGAAAAGTCCTACATTTCTAAAATGTTTTCTAATGTAGAAACATATACAGGTTAACAGCAAGTTCTTGAACCAAATAATAGTTGCCAGTTAGCCATGCTTGCTACCATGGGTAGCAAGATAGATAATCCTGTGGGCATGGTATTTCTCTGGCAAATACCCTGATTTTATCACTTCCGTGCATCAAGGAATCCCATCACAAATGTGGAGCCACAGGCTGATTAATTAGGCCAGTCCACTTCCTCTTTACTGAGCATCAAGAACTAAACCCTCCGTAAGCAGAAATTGTGCAGAATAATGCTTATGCACTAGCCATCAAAGCTCCTGTCAACAATTGTTGATATAACTGACATGGCAAGAGAAAAAAAACATTTTAAGGAGGGTTTTTTTTTAAGTGCACTGTATGTATTTTTAAAAGGAATTTCCAGCCTCAAAAGCAAAAGACAACCTCAGGCTAGTTTGCTCAGATTCCCAGAACAGAATCTGCTACTTTTCAGTTCACTGCAATCTTGCCCATGTACCCATTTCAGGTTCAATATATATTTATCACTTCTCAGCTATTTATATTTTTAATGCCCTAATAGCAGTTCAGAGGCATTGTACCAGGGCTAGTAAATGCCTAATAGTGTTTCTTTGAAAGAGGCCAAGGGACATTCTATAGGACCCATATTCCTGCCACCTTGTGGGCAGGCTGCCATGAACCTTCTGGTATAAAAATAATTCTATCAAACACAATGGGATAGAAACAGAATCATGTCACAGGCAGTGCCAGTGCTATAGACACAGCTGGTAACATCACCCTGAGGATGTCACTGGAGGAATGTAAAATAACAGGGTTTAAACTTTGAAGTTCGAAAACAGCATCTTTGGAAAGAAACATCTTTTAAAGTTTCAAGCCATTTGAGATCATCCTGTCACTGCCACTTAACATCTACACTTCAACAGTGTAACGCTACATTTTTAGGCCAGGTTCTGATTTTAGAGACACTGGTATAACAGGAGTTCGAGTTCCTCTGGATTTTCACCAGCGTAACAGAGATTGGAATTGGGCTTCACCAAGGATTTCTTTGGAAAGATAATTTGATTGGAAGAAATGTTGTGCTGCCCCCATTTTTTTTGTTAAGAAAGCTCAATCTGAATTTTATTTTTAATACTCAGTAGGCAAAGGCTTTGGGAGAGAGATTTGGAGTTGGCTGAATCATCCATGGATAATTAAAAAAAAAAAAGACAACACTGGATCCTCACTTCCCATTGCTGCCCCAAGATTACAAAGCATTAGACTCTCCACTTAGTCGGTAGTATTCCTCTCCAGCCTTACCTCCATGCTGCATTCTCTGCAGCTAAAGGCGGCGGCTTTTCCTCCAGCCTGGCATCCCAGTGCAGGAGAGACAGAGAACTGCAAGTCTGTAAAGTGGCTTGTAGATGTGCAGCTGGAATTGGAAATCCAGCTTCATTTATAGGGCTAGACATTTATGTGCAGGCAGTTCCATCAGTGCTTGCAAAGGCATGAAAATTCTCGGATGTATGTGAAAACCTGATTGTGAAGCACCCAGACCAAATTTTGCTGCGGGGATGGAGCAACTTCACCTGTCCAAAGCAAAAGAAACAGATGGCTGGAGAGAGGAAGGACGGATGGACCGGCAAGCTTCAAGAAGTTGAGCAGTTCCTTAAAGTTCCTTTATTTCCTGTGGTACAAAAGTCACTGATGATGGCAGAATAAAGGGGTACATGATACAAAATATTTGAATGGCTTAGAGAATGCTTATCAGTGGGGTGAAGAGTGTTTAATTTTAAAACAAAATATATAGCTGTGTACTGTGATATTTTCCCCTGCTTCTTCAGGGCCCAGGTGATGAAAGCACTTGAGCGTGGACATAACCCCAGGCTTAGTTAAGGACCTTTGACTCCAATGAGACTTAAAAACATGCTTAGGTGCTTTAAGTAGAGGTCAATATTCCCATGTTCACCAAAGAACCCACCAAAAATATTAAAAATAAAAGATTAAGGATAATACAAGTTTAGTAGAAAAATTACAATTGAATTACATTCCTCCTCTGGTTTCTATTCTATATGGTATTCTCATTTCCTATCAAAATTGTTGCACGCTGTTAAACTGTTGCTTTCTAGCGGCGTTGCAGTGATGGAGAAATACAGTTCACTTCTATGTATTTTATAAAGTGCTTCAGGGTCCTTCTGGATAAAAAGTTGCCCTCTATCATATGTAGAGATAGACAAACTTAGGACATATCCTGTGGCTGTCTTAACTAAGTGCATTATAAACTTGTATGTAAAATGCAGGGGGGGTTCTTGTTTTTTTTAAACTAGAGAGTTAAAGGCTAGTTAAGACAGCTCATTTCAATTTAGCACTAAACACTTGGGAACTATAACATACTTGTCTTGTCCGCTCTCCAAATAGTCTACGAGCAGAAAGAAGCTAAAGGACTCCATAGCAGCATCCTTTTACCCTAGTGCTGAAGGTTCAGGCAGGCACTTATCTACCAGGGAGAAGTTACAGACACACAGTGCTTATGTGCTACTCCTGAACACAGGTTTTGAGTTTCTACCTAGACTCAGACAACAAAAGTAGTAGTGTATAAATAAACATATAGTCACTCTCATTCAGAACCCATGTCCATCTACGGATGATTGTATCAAACTGAAAATAAATGTCTTTTTTTTATTATTAAAAGACAAGAGACATCCTTTATTAAATGAACATCCATCCCACCTTACTTCTAATCTGCAGATGCAGTTTTGACCAGTGAAGGGGACAGCTTAATTTTTACTGGAGACATTCTTGACACTGCCACAACCACAACGCTACAATCCAGAGTTCCAGATTCTACTTCAGGTGAACCACAGAGATTTGTAGGTTTGGGGGATCAAATGTAGTTCCTTCCTTTGATGTGTTGTGAACCTCATTCTCAGGGCCGCCCAGAGGACTCAGGGGGCCTGGGGCAAAGCAATTTCAGGGACCCCTTCCATAAAAAAATATAGTATTCTATGGTATTGCAACTATATTCTTGTGGGGGCCCCTGTGGGGCCTGGGGCAAATTGCCCCCCTCTGGGTGGCCCTGCTCATTCTTCACTTTGTAATCCAATTGCTCCTCCTTCTCTCCCTTTGCTATGATGGTGGGAATGTATCCAAATACAATCAGATATGAATAAGGGTCTAATTCTGCTTCCACTGAAGTCCATGGCAAAACTCCCAATGACTTCAACAGAAGCAGGATCAAGCCTCAAGAGCCCATCTTACTGGAAAACCTCCGGTTTTCAACGACTACCCTAATGCATCCCCAAATGTATTCAGTACAAGTAGAAGACCACTTCTAGTTCAAATGCAGTGTAATGCACATTAGCAACATGTAGCAATTGGCAGTTTCTACAATATAAAATTCACTAAAAATATTGATTAGGAAGTAGCATGGAATCATGAGATACAGAACAAGTTAGAACTCTATTTGTGCCATGATGTTCTTTAATCTATGGGACTACCACAAAACCTTCTTAAAAATGAGCTGTGGTTGCCTTTGGTTGTATAGAGAGGTTGTCAGTAGAAAGTGGGAAAACTCTTATGCCCCACTGTGACGAAATGCACTCCTGTATTCATACCCAACACACTATTGTGATAATCTTTGTACAAAATATGCCTTGTAAGGTATCATTTGAAAAACAACTTGGTCATTAAGGTCATGGTGAAGTATATTTAGCAACATTAGACAAAGTTATTAACCTATGCTGAAATCATGACTGAAGTGTGTTTACCAGACAAGTCTGGGAGTGGGTAAACTGCTTCTCAAAGACAAAGGACAAGTTGATGCCTCTAGCCAGGTGTCAAAGCTGATGGACTGTCACTTATCAAGTGGCCATTCTTTGGCAAGGAAGGGGGCAAGAACAAACGGATCTGCATCTTAGCAAACAGCAAAAAACCTCTCCCCCACCACACCCCATGTCTCATTACTCTTATCTAGGGGTCACTCTCAGGAAAATGCATTTCAAAGGGTGACTGAACTATAAATGTGAGGGGCAAAAATAGGCCAAATTATCACACCATACCCATCTCTCTTTGTCTCCTAAGAAGACTAAGACTTTGGGAGGAGATCCGGACCTGAGAGTTTGATCAGCAATGTACTGAAAACGTGGTAATGGCCTTCACTCTGAACCAAAGCTAGTTTAAGTTTTTTATCTTCATTTTTCTTGTAAACATTTCTGACTTTAATGCCTCTTTACTTGTATTCACTTAAAATCTAGCTCTCTGTAGTTAAATAAACTTTTCTTTAATTGAAACTAATCTAGTGTTGTGAATTGTTTGGGTAACTTCCTTTAAGGTAGCAGACTGTTGTATGTTGATCTCCTTAAAGGGGCAATGGACCTAATATCTAATGGACCTAATATCAGGAGAAGGCTGGACAGTGCAAAACACAGGCTTCTGGGGGGGAAGTCCGGGACTGGGAGTGATTTGGGCTCACCCTGTAAGTAGTAACCAAGGCTGCTGGAAGCCAGAGTGCGGTTGGTGTTTGTTGACAGGCTGCTGGAGTCAGAGCTGTGGCCATACAGAACTCAGGGTGGGACCTCCATGCTGTTAAGCTGATCGGGAGGAGCCCAGGGTGGGAGGTACAGCAGAAAAGCATAGGGAGGTACCCCAGGTTGCAGGGCAACTGGGGACACCGCCCCTCACTGGTCTGGATTGCACCTCGGAGCGTCATACCCACTTTTAAAAGGTGCATGTTGACGTGGCACAGATTGCTTCCTAAGAGCAACTTGAACATGAATGGAAAAAAAGCTTGAAAATTCCATGAGGAATTTCTCTCACCTAAAAGAAGTTGTGTATGGTACATGAGATGAGATGTTGTGGGAGACGGTGGTGTGCGAGACCAGAGACCTTGGGTTTATAAAGTGTGTGTTTGTTACCTGTCCGTAACTTGAATCTTAAGCACGTTTTTTTAAAACAAAGATGCAAAAGAGACAGGTTTTATTGTATTTTGAGGCTTCACTGTTCCTAGCGGCTATGGTATAAGCATCAGACTCAAAATCACAACTTATTTTTTAACACCACATATTCTAATTTTAGTGGATACAAAAAAATCCTAACTTTGCATATGGCCAATTTTAAGATCGCGCAGGATTCTGGGTTGAATCCTGCAAGGTGCTGGAACTCCTTAGCTCCCACTGACTTTATTTTTAAATTTCCTTTAATGTGATCCACTACGAGCATTATCTTCACCAAAAATAATAAACAAGCTCCTGTGTTGATGCAGCTACGTGGAAGTAAACACAATTAGGCCTCTTTTATGCTAAAATGAACAGCATACTAATGAGACATACTGAATCAATTATTCCTAAGGGATTCATGGCCATCAAACAGTCTTAGGTTATAAAAGCTAGTTTATTTAGACTTAACATAGAATTTCTTATCAGAAATGTGAAGAAGACAGCTACATTGAATTTGAAAAATTAATCACTTTTTTTTTTTAATTAATCTGGTTCATCTGGTTTTGCTTCACAAAAGTTCACAGAGCTGTTCTTATTTTAGTCCCCCCCCGGTGCCCACAACCACCATATACACGTGAAAACCCTTGATAAATTGCTTGTATGCCAGAGACTAAACTCAGACAGTCCCCAGTAGGTTGAGGTTAACATCAAGCCTTCTTGAGGAAACCATGTGTAAAAGCTTGTCAGTTCTTAGACAGCAAGAATGGGACTATTGAATTGACATTTATAGAGTGCTTTTTAAATCATCTGTCTGAATGCACACTACAGAGCAATGAATCACACACCTAAAACAGCGCTTGTATGCAGACCAATCCTGCAGCCATTGTGAGCTCAACAATCACATATCTGCGTAAGTTTTCATTACTGCCTGTTGGTCTTCCTGATGTTAATTGAGGAAGGGAATGCTGGCTAATGGTTATCTCATAGCTTGAGTCCATAAATTATACAGTATAAAAGAATGAAATTGATTGACTTGCTCCACAACATATTGCAGAGATGGCAAACCAAGGCCTTTTCCACTCCCAGTATTGAAGATTCCACTACACTTTTTGCAAGAGCAGATGTGGGAGCACTGGAGTCCTGGCCAAAATTCAATTTTAGGTAACTACTAAAATTCCTCCTGCAGTTTCACCTGGATACAGTTCTTCTGTAGCTTCTTTCCTAAAATAGTTATGTAAGGCTTAGAAGTTTGCATGAGAATGGCACCTGCAAGTAGACCACGTGAGGACTTCTATGTAAGTGACGCATTGTGCTGCAAGAGTTAGGGGATCTCAAGTGGAGAATTCCCCATTCCAGAAAAGATATGGAGAGATGGATAGGTTACTAAAAAGTGAGAACCTGAACTCAGTTCAGGTTAAGGGCAATTTATCTTTAACAATTTGACTGTGGGTGGGGTGCATGTATATGCATGTCCTGGTGTGATTTGTAGCAGTTATATTTTACTAAAATGAGAAGGGGCGGGAGGGGGGGGGAGAAACTGCTTTTTCCCTATTTTCCAGCAATGCTCACTTTTCTTCCTCCCCCACAGCCTGAAGGAGGCCAACTTTGCAGATATTATGGCCACAATTTTCTGCTTCTGTCCCTGCAACTTTAGTTTTCTGTTAATGAACCATAAGTGAGTCCAGTCAGCTTTATTCAATTTGCTCTTTCAGAATTCCATATTTATTCACTTATCTCTTAGAATACAGACATACTGTATTAAATTCCCCGAGTATCTAAAAATAGGATGATTTATTGATTTTTTCCATAAATGCATCTAAATACACTTAAATAGATATGGGCCTGAACCAAATTCCCAGATCCAAACACAAACGCTGGAGACATCAAAATTAAATTCTAGATGTAATGTTTAATGACAACTGTCATACATAATAAAGGCTACAATGTTCTAGTATCTTACTTTTTTCTGTTCCACTGTAATGAGATTTACACATTCCTATTCCTCTACTCACACGGAGTAATATCTACTGCCACAAATGGTCCCACTTCTTTAGTGGGAACATGAGTGGAGTAAGGAGCGACTCAACACAAATAAGGAAATTGGAATCAAGCCAACTGAGAACTATCAGAGTTGTTCTTCCTTTCCTCCTGCTATGTCCATTTCTAGGTCTGATCCAAAAACCACTAAGTCAATGGAAAGAACCCATTTGACTTCCATGGGTTATAGCTGGAACCCTGAATACCCAATACATTGTGTATCAGATCCCTTACTCATCACAGCTCAGAGAGATTGTAATCCACAGGTGAATGTGCATTACAGGTACCCTCTGTGCTGATCCACAGAGGATACAAGTTTGTTACAACCCCTGGCCATAGAGCCTTGGCTCATGCTTTGTGTATGTGTTTGCCACAAGGAGGGCAATCACGGGATCAAAAAAGGAAAAAACTATTTGTATTCCCCACAACTATGATACTTGGACTTTGTGGAAATAATACAATAATAAAATGCTGTATATATAGCAGAACCTAGACTACCCCAAATGCCTTCTCATATGAAGCAACTTTATGTCTCCCAACATTACTAATTACATCGAAAATTCCTTCAGTTATCTAAAAACCTTGATTATTCAAACTTATTCTCCATCTCCTGCCCCCCCACTCCACCCCCTTCATGACATTCCATTAATTCAGGTTGTATGGTATTGCCAACCTTTAAAAACAGCCCGATTCCTGACAGATGTTGAGCATCCATAAGTACCAGTGGACAACCCCCAGTCTTACATGAAAGGCATCCTTAATGGCCAAGCAGACTAGAGCAGATGGGACCTCAGTTTTTTCTCTCTCTCCCAAAAGAGACAGAAATATAACTTGATTTATCTATCTGAACAAGACAAAGTGCAGAGCTGGTCCTGTGGCTATTTGAACAGATATGCCAAAAAGCTCACTCTCAGGGAGGGAAGGAGTTAATCCAAAATGGGAGTATTTTTTAGGCAGATTTTAAAGCTGTGTGTTAAAGCAGTGGCTCTGAACCTTTCCAGACTACTGTACAGTACCCCTTTCAGGAGTCTGTACTGTCTTTCACCTCACTTAAAAACTACTTACTTACAAAATTGAACATAAAAATACTAAAGTGTCACAGCACACTATTACTGAAAATGCTGACTTGTTTTTACCATATAATTGATAAAAAAGTCAATTGGAATATAAACGTACTTGCATTGCAGTGTACAGTATATAGAGCAGTATAAACAAGTCATTGTCTGCATGAAATGTTAATTCGTACTGACTTGCTAATACTTTTTATGTAGCCAGTTGTAAAACTAGACAAATATCTAGATGAGTTGATGTACCCCTGGTTGAGAACCACTGTGATAAAGGTTGTTGTAGTCTGATTCAATGAGACATTTTAAATCTCATTTATTTCTCATTGTCACTCGCATATTGACTGCTGTAGGGTATAGATAGTCTTCTTTTCTTGTTGCAGATAAGTGTACGTACTGCAAAACGAATGCCTAATCCACTAAGACCAATATCCTGGTTTAGGCCCAAATCCAGTTCTGTGAATTCAGACGCTTTCACCTGCACTGAATCCCATTACTTCATGGCCACAGTGGGGCTCCAGGGATGCACAAAGATCCCCATTGAAGCAATTAAGTTAATGGGGCTTGATTCAGGCCCAGTGTTCCACCCTAACAGAGCCCACTACAGGATCAGGGATTTGGTAATCAATATATGATAGAACCAGGAATTTTTCTGAAGCGTTACAATCAACTAAAAAACAACAACAACCACCACCACCTTCTGTTATGTAGTTGTTGTAGGAATATCACCCAAAAGGACTACAAGGTCTCATGCAACAAAAGAGAAGAGATAAATCATTTTTTAAATAGGAAAAAAAATGTAAACCTCCCAAATTGGCAGATAGACTCAGGAAGAGAGACAATAAGGAACATACCCCATACTTTTGAAATTGACTAGATTTCAAGTTGCCAGTGCCCCTCTAAATTACTCTTTTTCCTCTTATGCTGCACACAATAGGGATTCACTGAAATTTTTAGTGGACAACAATACGTCTGATTCACTTAGGGGATGATCATTACTCCAACATAGCATTTCATTCTTAAATATTGGAAATCATGTATACTGTAATTCAAGCAGTGTAAGTTCCTGTGTGTGGCACTTCACCATGTGAATAGATCAGGGATATATATGAGAGAGAGAGAGAGAGAGCACGCGCGCATGCACACGCACTTGGCAGGTAAAGTCAAAATATGGCTGTTAAATATCAATCATTACACTTGTCACACAAATGAGTGGCCATTGCAAAAAGGGCACTGGATTATTAGCTAATGAGGGGCAAAAAGAAAAACCATACAACCCCTCCCCACCCTTATCAATTGCCTCTCTCACAGTATTTGATTGTTTTTCTCTAAACCCCAAGCCCTGGAGTTAAGTGATTTTGAGATCTGAGATTTCAGGGGTTTTTTAATTAATTAATTATTATTATTAACGTAAGCGTCTTGCCTTCCAGGCTGCAGAGAAAAGCTTGGGAATGACCCTGTGACCGCTGAAGGCTCAAAACCCAGAGGCAAATAAAGAGACCCCAACTTAAAAAAACCAATCTCCTGATCTCAGTGGGCAGCCCCTGTCCGCTG